ACTCCATGACCCTGATTGCTGGGTGCCCAGGAGCCCCTGGGCTATCCCATGTAGACTGTCTGCCCAAAGCCTGGGCTTCAGATACTTTCACATCACCCACTCCCCCTCAGGAAGTTCTGTCATCCCCTGGGGACGTTCCCCTCAGGAAGCTCCATCATTCCTCGGGGACACCCACCCCTGGCTTGAGAGCTGCTGCAACATCAGGACCAGAGGAGGGGCCTCCTCGGCTGTGGCCGGGTAAAATGGAATTGTGAAGTGTTTGCTTGAAAGGCCTCTTTGTCCCTGGGACATAGTGGCCCAGTGCTGTGCCTCTAACCGCCTCCAGCAGGAAGTGTGCTGGGTGAGTGAGCCGAGCTCCTGCCAGCAAACAAAAGGCAGTGTGTGCTCAGTGCCGGCCCAGCAGTGCCCTCAGAAAGGCTGGCACCCAGACACACCCAGGCCCAGGGGATGGGGCAGGGCCAGTGACTACTTGTCCATTCATTCTACAAATGCTGCCTGCCAGGCAAGACCACAGAGTGACCTGCTTATGTGTGTACATGAGAATGTGCCTGTGGGGTGTGGGTACATGTATACATGCATATCTGTGCGTCTGTGCATGCACATATGTGTATATGTGTACATGTATGAGTGCTGTTCCTGCATGTATGTATACATGTGTTTGTAAGCATACATGTTACATGTGCCCACAAGTGTATTTGTGTGTGTGTATGCACCTGCATGTATCTGTGCATGTGTATGGTGTGTGCCAGGCATCGTGGCAGCCATCAGGCTCCTACACCTCATTTCTTCCTCTCTTTCTGACTCTGGGCACCACTGTGCACTTTGTCGCATATTTGGCAGAGAGTCCAAGGCTCCTCTCCAGGGTGTGGCACCCACCACAAGACAAGCGGGCATGTGCTTAGGCCTTTAAGATGTGGAAGATTGGCAGTTCTCCTGGCACATCTGTCCACTGTCCTCAGCCCCACAGACTGAGTGACATTCCATGACTTCCATCATTGGCCAAAAGGGGCTCCAAAGATGCTTGTTCATGGGGACTGGCCAGCAGAGCCCTGAGCCTGATGCCTCAGCCTGCACTGTCTCCTGTGCCCTTCAGCATCTTTTCTTCCCAGACATCCCATCCCAGAGGATGAATGCCATTGCCACCTGGAGGGCTGCTGGCTGATGCTGGACAGCGAAGGATTTGAGCCCAAGCCATCTCCCTTCTGCCCCCTCACAGCCTACCCTGAAAACAGGTCCGAACCCACCTCCTGATGCTCTACCCTGACCTGCAGAACTTCAATTTTCATTTTGCAGTTGAAGAGCCTGCCTCACCTGAGACAATCAAGTTCCCGTTTTTGGTGCTTAGAGCAGAAGGAGACTGTGTCTAGGACCAGGTTTCTGAGGCCCTGGCACAGTTGAAAGGGGACAGATGGGGAACACATTGGGACCCCTTTTAAGCTGCACTCGAGCCTCTTCCTAGTCTATTCTTCAGTGTTGCTGTCAGAGAAACACTCCCCCAATACACACACACAAACACACACGCGTGCACACACACACACACACACACACACAAACACACACGCGTGCACACACACACACACACACGCGCGCACACACACATCTCTTTTTCTATAATTTGTACAGGTCTTTTCTCAGTCACTGAAAATAGGATTCCTGGGATTGGGGCCTGTGTGTGTTTTACTCCTGTAGCTTCTTAGCAGGTTGAAGGTTGTGTTTGTTGGTTTTCTACCATATTTATTGTTACCCAAAATGATGCATCATCAGCGATGGGAGATACCATTGCTGGAGACTTTCCACAAGAATAATTGGTAGAAAGGGAAAAAGGCCTCAGGAAAATGCATGACAAATGCTAGCCTGGGTCCCTTGAGGTGCTCATCTCACAGGGCTGATGGAGGCTCAGGAGTGGTTCAGTCCCTCTGAAGGTCTCAGGAACAGGATGGGTGCTCATGTTGGAGAAGCCCCAGGAAGCTGGGAGGATCCCTGTCCCCATGCACTGCTGTAGCAACCACAATTCCTTCCTTGCGGGGGAAACCACTCTGATTCTCAGTTGGAGTATTTTCCACTCCTGACTTTTCAGTTTAACGGGGGGTATTTCCAAGTCTCATGGTCTCCCTGGCTTTCTTAGTTTGTTCAGGCTGCCACAGCAAAATGCCACAGACTGAGTGGCTTAAACAACAGACATTTATTTCTCACAGTTCTGGAGGCTGGAAGTCCAAGAGGAAGGAGCTGGCAGATTCCATTACTGGTGAGGATCCAATTCCCCGCGTGTAGATGGTGCCTTCTTGCTGTGTCCTCACATGGAGGCCTAGGGAAACAGAGAGGGAAAGAGAGCTCTAGCAGGCATGCTAGAACTCTGTGGTGGCTCTTCTCATAAGACATGATCCTGTCAGATCAGGGTCCCTCCCTCATGACTTCATTTAACCTGAATTACTTTCTAAAGGCTTCATCTCCAAATATGGGGGGTTAAGGCTTTAATCTAAGAACATGAAGAAGATACAATTCATTCCTTAGCACTGGCCTGGAAAGCAACTGGTCTCAGGAATGCCTGGCTGTTAGATATCCCGTCTCTCTGGCTGTGAGTATAAAGATGGATGGGTGGGCAGTACTGGCCAGGATGCAGCACACCCTCCACAGGGTCCTATGCTGGACCAGAAGTAGGCATGACTAATCAATCCCAGGACTCCTCTCTGTTGTTCTCCATGGTCTCCTGCTTTGTCAGAACTGGCGATGATAGGACAGTCACTCTAGCAAGGATGCTGTCCCATAGTCAGTTTTCCAAAATGCCCCTAGACCCACAGATCCACCTACCCTGTAATGACTCCAAGCCCACACCCTGGTAAGGGTGAAGGGTGAGCTCTCTCCCAGGGCCCCTGTCCTCTGTTGCCCACTGCTCTTACAGGGAGAGTCACTACCTGTAGGCCAGTGGCATAATGGGCTTGTCCGTGCTAAATGGAATTGCAGAACTCCTTGTTAAGAATTTCAAGACATGGGAACCTCAGAGCATAATTCAAGTAGTGGCCGCTTTTTGTATGGGGCTGTGAAGCTGGCCTGTCTCCTGATTGGAGGATTTTGTGTCTGAACACACACGTGTACACGCATACACATTTGCATAACTGTTGATATAGTAGTCATTCCTCCCCTACTGTGAGAAATCTCGGGAGAAATTTTAGTAAATGAGTATCATGGGGAACTATAGTTCTAGTTTATGCAAATTGACAGTTCTATTATTTTTTTAAAGAAAAACAAAAGAGGTGAAATGGAAGAGAAAGTCCTGGAGAGAGGAGGGAGCCAAGGACCTAGGGGAGCTGTGAGGGGGTCCGAACTGGAGACAGGAGTGGGGGCCATAGAGACTGAGACCGGGGAGACTAGGGTCCCCTCTTGGAGGTCTCTGCAGCCTGTGCCTGGTGTGGATGACCGAGATCCTCCCCGCCCAGCGGGGCTGGCAAAGGAGACTGCAGCCCAGACACAGGGCTCTCTGCTTTGCTGGGACATTGACTCCAGGAAAGAGGAATCTAAACAGGGAAACTGAAAGTTCTTAATATGTAAATTACCTCTATCTGTACTAGATAAATTCCAAGGCTCTACTTGAAACAGTGAGGAGAGTCTGACACGCTGTGCATGGGTGAGGAACACAGAAGGGAAAATGAAAGGCCATGCAGGGCCTTCCAGCACTAGTGTGAAAGGGATCACATGTAGTCAATAACCTTTGCATTTAGCATGGGGTATATGGCTCTAACCAGGTAACTGGACAAATGCATGACAACTGCCATCTGTTCTCTAGGGGGGCCTTGGGCCCAAATATTTTAATTTTTTTTAAAATATAGGATCCAAAGTTTCTTCTAGTCTACAACCATGGGGTTAAAGTTTTTGTAGAATCCCATACATATGATAAGTGTGCAAGATTATAATAGCTTTAAATAAAAGTGATGTTCAGCAGGTGGCTGGCATCTGATCTGAATGCCCAAACTTTCCCACTGGATTATAATTCTTGTTTGTAGGTGCCATTTTTATAAAAGTGTGGTGAAAGTAATTATATGTGCCTTAAGAAGAACAAATTATTTTTTCTCAGTTTGAGAAAAAACTAATAGTTGAGGTTTCTGTAATGAAGTTTCCATTAATGCAAACAATGTTTACTCCATTATGAAGTCCTTACTTCTAGGGTTAGAGCAATTTCTGCCTGTCTAGCCTTGAAAGCCATCAGCCACAAAATGGGGTGGGTTTCCAGAGAGGGGGATAAATACAATTCTTTTCTGCATGGAAGAAGTTGATGTGGACTTCAGGGTTCATGTGTTAACAGGACAGTCACTGCCACTGCCCAGCTATCTGGCCTTTCACCAGCAGTTCCCGATCCCTCTGCCCTGTCCAGTGGTCATGACTAAGGACTCAAGTCATTTAGTCTTGGATCCTTGACATTGCTGGTGCTGGAATGGCTTCGGGGTTTGCAACTGAGACACAGGGGCTGGGGGCTGTGGTTGCTATAAAATCCTCCAGTCAATCAGCCAGATGGGACATTGACAGCCCACCTCCAGCCCAGCCTCACTCTAGCACTGATCAGGTGCTCGCTCGGTTCCTATTCTGTGGATGGGCCACCCTCAGGCCCTCAGTGCATCTGAGGGGTGTTCCAACTGGGAACCTCCTCCTCCTGCTGTTTCCTGGCTCTTCAGTGGATTTCTGACAAAGGAGAGGTTGGCGTGTTCAATCCTCCAGGAAGGGGCCGTAGCTCTGCTCCATGGAAATGTCTCCAACACCCCTGGTCACTACTCACTGGTCTGTGACTGACTGGTGGCAGAGCCTAACTTGGGGAGTGAGCACTAAACCAGAAATCCAGGAGGAAGCACAGCTGCCTGGCTGAACCTCCCTGTGTGACTGTCCCTGGATGGGGTCACTCTGGGCACTGCCCTTGGGGTCTTTCCACCTACCATTGGACACAGGCCTCCTTGGTGATGTCCTTGTGACCTGGATGAGCAGCATGCTGACTACCTGTCTTTTCTCTCCCACAGCAAGAATCATCAAGACAAAGCAGTGGTGTGACATGCTCCCATGCCTGGAGGGGGAAGGCTGTGACCTGTTAATCAACCGGTCAGGCTGGACATGCACGCAACCTGGTGGGAGGATAAAGACCACTACGGTATGTGGCCCTTTGCTTTCTTGTGGGTGCATCAGGAGGGGCAAGCAATTCATGGACCAAACGAGGGGTGGCGACTACAACCCAGCCCTGAGGGGGAGGGCTGCAACTGATACCACTGTTGCAGAGGTCATCAGCCTGTGTTTTTCCCTACCTCCGCCTCTGGGGCTGAATTTCAACAGCCTGTCCCCAGGCAGATGGTCAGTGAGTGCACAAGGGCTAAGCGCTGGAGATGCAGGGGCTGAGGTTAAATTCATGCCCTGGCACAAAAACCTGTGAGAGTCATCTTATTTCTGGGGCAGGTATGCCTGTAACTCCAGGCTGGAGGAAATGTGGACATCTATTGAAAATGAGCTTCAGATAATTCCCCCAGGACAATGGGAAAGTCTGTAGAAACAGGCTGAGGGCGGGGTAGGGTTTCAACCAAATGTACTCTCCCTTTCCCTAAACCTGGCCTATGGTCACTTACACCATAGACTTTGAGAGCCCCTAAGTGCATTGCTCCCTCCCTGTCCCACTGAGTTGGACACTTAGAGAACTTCCAGAAGCCATGACTGACCCTGTCCCAGAAGCTACTCTTTCTACAGGGTGAGAGCTTGAGGAAAGCAAAGTGGTCTGGGCCTTTCTGAAGGTAAACTCCTCCAGACACACCCTAAACACTGCAGGCAGTTTTCCCCTGCAGTGGGGCAGGCCAGGGAGCCCACATCCATATATATTTGGCACGGAGCATTCCCCATAGGGATTGCAGATTTCGGCTCCTGATACTGGTTCTTCCATGCTTGACCTTTATATTGAAAGGTGAAGATTAGAGTGGGTGAGGAGTTCCTTGCCAGCAGTCCAGGCTCCTTGCGGTGGGAATAAGTCAGGGAGATTGAGAGCCATGCGAATGGACCTGGAAGCACTCCATCCCCCACCCCCTGGCATTAGAGTCTCTTCCAGAGGTTGCACAGAGAGCAGCAGACTGCAGCCTCATAGACTGGACCAAAGGAAAAGCCTCCTCCTTCTTGCCCTAGAGTCTCTGTGTGATTCAGATGAGCTGTTTTAGTAATTTGTTCAAGAGGCCAATTTGATGCAGCTGCTCCAGTGAGCAGAATTCAGGGACATGGTCTGAGAGCTGTAGGGTAGCCCGCTGCAGCCAGAAGACCTTCTGTCAGTGAGACAGACTGGGGCAGCACCTCACGCCTTCCAGAGGATTTTCCAGAATCCTCTTGTGTTTGTGGAAATGCATGTAGATGGCAGCCTAGGAGCACCTGCCTAGAACATGGGCGTCTAGAAGAGCCTTGAAGTCCAGGTGTTAGTGCCACCCTCAGAGCCATGTGAACAGGACAGAAGAGGATATGATTGAGTTGTCCTGAGCCAATCTCCTGGGGTGTTTGGACTGTGTTTGTTTATGGGTGTTCTGTGTAGCAGCAAATAATTACTGGGAGGTATGAGATGATCTGCTGCATGCTTCCTTGCCACCTGCCCTCATTGCTCTGAGGGTGCCCAGATGGGCTTCTGAGGCACGGCTGCTGCTTTAGAACAGGAGTCTAGGAGGAAGTTGCTCTTTCTACGGATTTCCATCTCCATGTTTCTGGAAAGGCAAAGACCTGTAACAAGCAACCCACTGAACAGCCTCAGCCCCATCCCCTGATCAGTGTGACCAGGAGTTGGGAGAAGGGGACAGTTCTGCACATAGAAGATATGGCCATGACTGAGAGATCTTTTGGGTGAATCAGCCCAGCCCTCTGAATTGACACCTAGAGGAGATGAAGCTTAGACAGGGGAGCCCTCAGACCCATTGGATCTCCTGCTGTGTCCAGTTGTGCTTGCCTGCCAGGGAAAGCCTTCTTTCTCCCAAGTGTGAGCTGGACAGGCTTCTATTCCCTAGAAGGACATAGGCCTATGGGTTAAGGACCTGAGTCCTTATCTTGACTCGGGTCCTGGGGTATGGAAGGACTGTGAATATGTTACTGTTCCCCTTTGGCTTCAGTTTCCACATTTGTAACCATTGTCAAGGCCAAGCAGCCTATGGGAGTAGCTGTGACTATCAGGCCTTGTACATCTGTCAAGCCCTCAGCACCCCTCAGTGTGGGCATGGGTGAGTTGGGGCTTCTCACGTCTTCTCAACGCTTACCTCCTGCTCTGCCCCCTGCCTTGGAGATTCTGGAAGAGTCAGATGAGTATCTGTGACTTCAAAGGACAGAAGCATTCCCAACCCCTCCTTTCTACTCACATCCCAGTCTCCCGGGTGTCAAGATACATCCCCAAGTCTAAATCAACTCAAATAGCATAGTGAATTTCCTCGACCTGTGGACCCTGGCCAGGTGCAGCCTCCTATTTCCCTCATGGAAGCCAGTGTCAAAATGAACGGCCACCTTAGTCCTGGGTTGCAGGACAGTCAGTTCTTAGTGCAGCTCTGCATCTGTGCTTTCAATGACCTATCATTTCTTGATTGTCATTTGATGAATTCCCTCCTTTTCTTGACTTGATTCCAGTGAGGGGCCCAGGCCAACATCTAGGCCACATTTCTTCAGGAATTTACTTTTATAAATTCCTAAGAGTTTACTGCTAAATCTACTGAGATGGGAAGTTAGGGAGTCTAAAGACCCTGAGAAAGAGCTCATAGTGGATAAAGTGTCCTTCACCAGAGAGAGCTCACAGTGGATAAAGTGTCCTTCACCGACACTGGCAGCCCTGCTGAGCCAATGACAAGGGCCAGAACTGGCCACAGGCTGTGGTCCATCTTTGCCCTCTGAGGCAGGTGAGACAATCGGTAGAAATGGGATTTGGTTCTTGTTTGGAAGTTGCTGGCATCACCAAATTTTGTTTTTGAATAGTGTATTGGGATGAAATTCACATAACACATAACATTCTCCATTTTAAAGTGAACAATTCAGTGGCATTTGGTCCATTGACAGTATTGTGCAACCACCACCTCTACCAAGTTTCAAAACATTTTCATTTCCCTGCAGAGTGAATCCCTGATCCCATCAGACAATTTCTTACTGGCGAGATTTGAGGGGACACTTCTCATTGCTCCGCCTCCATGACTAGTCCCCATACAAGCTCATTGCAGCAGATCCATTGATCCCCCTATGGGCAGAGGTATGTAAAGTCTTTGGCATGCAGGACCCACATCGATAAGTGGGGGACAAGGAAGTGGCCCTGCACAGACACAGCAGGCCTCTTGAAAAAGGCCCTTAAGTGGGCTTCATAGTATGTTCATTTCTTCACTGTTGACCCGAACTCTATAATCAACCTTCACCATCTCCTGTGTTCACTAAGAACACCTGTCCTTCTTTTCTCTCACTCCTGTTTAGTCCTTCATAATATGAGTCTTTCTCATCAAGACTAGTCAAGGCCCCCTTCTATTAGACTAGATGCCAGACCAGGACTGTTTGACCAGCCTCCTTGTTTTCACATATGGCAGAGACAGGGATCAGATGTGTTCTCTATGGCAGCTCAGTCCAAGCCAAGTAGGACCCACCATGGGAAGTGGTAAGTTTCCCATTCTGGGGTATTTGAGACAGTGGCTGACCTTGCCCCAGGGATATGGGGGAGAGAAGGGGTGTGTGAGTCTTCTTGGCATTTGTAACAAAAGCTGTACTTGTCTAGTTCTTAATGTGTTCAGAGAACCTTGTGGAGACCACTGCAGATTCTCATTCCCTTCAGCCTCACAGGCCTCGGTGCTTGGTATGACAGTGCTGGATACTGCACCTGGGACAGTTTGAATGACCACTGAGAACCATATGGTCAGAAGTCCAAGGAGGTTGCTGTGAATCTCCCTGGTCTGCCTTACTCAAAAGCTGACCCTGGTTTTTCATGAGACCCCACTTTCAGAAGCTGACCCTGGTTTTGCATGAGATCCCACTTTCAGACTTTCAGAAGACTGAGATACTTACCTGCTCATTACTAGGACACTTTTTGGGGAACCTCCAAGTCTTGGCCCACCCTGGAGGGCACCTGTTGCAATGACCAGGGTCATGGGCAGGTGCTAGTCTAGCTACAGCAGGAGAATCCTATCGCCTAGGCAGAAGAAAAATGGTGTCCCAACTTGGGCAAATCAAGACAAGGAAATTTACTCTGAGGGGCCTCAGTTCTCCTAGAGAGTGATACCTCTCATACTTGGAGGGGCACAGCTTTCCTTCATTGGGGAGAGTGTGTGTGGTGGAGCTTGGGGACCTCTTTCCTGGTCTGTGTGTCACATTGTCACTGCAGAGACACCGTGTTTGCACTGGGTTGGCAGATCTTATTGAGTGACTGTGTGCTTACTCCAAGGGACTAGGGTATGCTCTGTAATCTTCCCAAGTATCTTGAGAAGTCTCTGAGAACAGCCAAAATCCAACTCCTAATAGAATCCTTGGCCTGTGGTATAACCTGTTTTCAAAGCTTTCTTAAAAGGTTAGTTGAGCTCTTGGACCAAACACCATAGAATTGAAACTTATAATCCCAGTTGTACGATTGCATCTCGATTCTTTATAGATGGTAAATCAGTACTATATGGGCTTTCACATTTTACCATAAATTGGTTTTCTGAGAGATGATCATCTTCTCATAACTTGGATTTTAAGAGACCTGGTGATTACATGATTACCACTAATTCTATCCCAAGGCCATGTTCTCAGTTTAGACCCTATCCTGCAGCCAAGGCCTGGGGCATACAACTGCCTGCCCCATCATCCAGTCACACCCTCTCCATGGAGCTGAGCCCATGTCATGTCCCAATCCCCTTTGCTGTTTTGATTGCTGCTGTTCATTTCTCTATGTCTCAACCAGAATGTGGGCCATCAAGGGCAGGTATGGTCCTTAGGGGTCCTGCTGCCCTATCCCCTCACAGGGCCTGCATCATTATGTGTGATACATGGAATAATTGATTAACTGAATGTAGACCCCAGGCACATGCTGATGTTTGCATTTCCGAGATCTCTGCTTTTCAAAGTGCAGGTCGTCACCCCGTTAGCAGGTTGTGAAATTAATTTAGTAGATCATGATCAGCATTTAAAAGGAGGAGAAACAGATTA